CACACTTCTCCACACACACAGTCTCCACACACACACATTAATTATATTTTTCACACACATCTCCACACTCTCTTATTTCTCCCCACATTCACCCCAAAACAGTTTACCACACCCCAATTTTACCATACAACACCACAATCTAATTTACCATACATAATTACACACCAAACATACAATTCTTCACCACACCCAAACATACAATTCTTCACCACACTAATCACACCCAAATTTCACACACAAAAATATTTTTAAAAAATAACACACCATATTAAAAATATGTATAAGCGAGAAAAGAAACAAGGTGAACAAGGAGGAAAGTGAGGCTAGACGAGAGAAAAGCACTCGTCCAAAAATCAGCCAAAACGACGTCGATTTGACCGAGCTAGAGAGTGCTAAAGTCTGAGACATCCCACCACGACTCTTACAGCGCTACCCCGAACCCCGCCGCCTTGCCCTTCTTCTTCTTCTTGCCGCCCTTCTTGTTCTTCTTCGGTTTCGCAGCGCCGGGCGCGAGCTTGGCGCGCTCCTCGGGTCGCGTCCTCAAACCAGCGAGCTCCGCCTCCGCGGCGAAGACGGCGACGGGGTCGTCGCTGACGAGGTCGGGCACGTCGAGGACGTCGAAGAGGAACTGGAGCGCGGCCCGCTCCGTGTCCGTGAGCTCCGGGTGCCAGACGCGGAGCATCAAAATGTAGCGGTACTCGTCCGAGTCGTTCACGGCGTCGTGGAAGATCGACGTGTCGAACATCGTGACCTGGCCGTCCTTCCAGTAGCGCGTCTCGTCGCCGACGGTGATGTGACAGTCCGGCGGGATATCCAGGCCGAGGTGGCTCGTGAGCACGAAGTTGCAGCTGTCCGTGTGGGGCGCGATCTTCGAGTTCGGCGTCATCGACGCGAAGAAGGCCTCGACGCAGGGCACGCCCGCGTCGCTCAGGAGCTTCGCCGTCTTCGGGAAGAGGTTGCAGTTCGTCGGGTCCCAGGTCGTCCGGTCCATGAGCACGAGCGTCCGCCAGTCCGGGCCGTACGACGCCGCCGAGTCGCTGTCGGCCGCCGCGACCCAGACGTTGTTCCCCTTCTTCTTCAGGTTGTCCGCGTCGTCCATGGCCACGGCGCGGAACTCGTCGCGCACGACCTCCCAGTTCGCCTCGAGCTCCTGCGCCCACGCGGTCGTCGTGAGGTCCCAGAACGGCATCGGCGTGAGGCCC